AAGTGTTTAAATCCAGTGATATTAGGTTTGTCTTACAAGCTCAGGATCAAAACGATTCTGCAATTGCCCGAGTAGTTGACTTGTAAATGGTTGTGAATTAAGCAGATGACTTTTATTCTTACGTTTTCAGTCAGAAAACGTATTCCAAATGTTTTTTATTGCATGGTAATGCATCTTTTCATTATTCAATAACCAGTCGGAGAACCGCTTGTGTTCCGAAAAAAGTATGTGATTCAATCGTCTTGCATGTTCTTCAAATTTGTCTTCTTGTGATTTTTTTCTTTCCCCAAAAACTAAGTTGCCTCTCAAAGGAAGTTTTCTGACATTGAAGAGACAAAAGAGTATGGATCTACTTTTAGAGGCATGTCAAAAAACAGATCTCTACAAGCCTTCTCTTCCATTTTATGTTGTGCAGTCAGACAAAAGTTTGCATCAGCGTAAATTCTATAATCTATTTTTATTACACTCTGATTACTTTATTAACATACAGTGAATATATACTAAATCTTTTACTTCAGCTTAAGTAATTCGGAATTTTTGACGGAATTGTTGTCGGAACTAGAACTTAGACGATAAGTCAAATTTAATATTTCGATAACCCAATAAATTCAAGGTCGAAGTTTCAATATTTATTTTTGGACGGAGGGAAATTTTTTTAGTTTTGGTCATTATCCTAAGTATATTTGCTTCGATTCTTTATTTTTCCATAAAAGCGAAAATTTAGGATGGTTTACATATAATGCATAGCTTCAAATTAAAATTTAATATATACAGAATGGCTATATTAAGTTCCACATTGAAACGGTCATAAAAGGAAACTACCCAACTTATCAAACTTGGAAATCGTGTAAAGGAAATCATAGGAATTATTTGCGAAAAAAAGGAAGTTCGAAACCTCCCACCAGGGGGAAACTGGCGCTGTATGCAATTTGTTAAACGAATTGGTCGGAATCTAACTTAACCTTTTGTTACACGGGTTTAATATGTTGTATACACTTAAGAAACTTTGAAGTAGGCAATTACCATTTAAAGGCGTTAATTCGATAAATGTCGAGTGCGCCATCCCGTTAAGTGAGAAATTCGTCCGTGAAAACCACGAATTAGCGATTAGAAAATATGAGATCGCAAATCACTCTCACAAGTGCTACAATCTGGAATCGTTTTCTTACAGATCGCTAATTGTAATTTTTGAAGCCTGAATTCGGCACTAAAACATGAAGATACTGATTCAAAGCGCTTTTAATCGATTTAGGCCAAAGAAATTACTCATGTTGTCTATCTAGTTCCATTGCATTCTCCTACTGCATTCGATTGCATAGCAGTCATTCCACACCTTTAGTGTTGAATGACAGCTAGTTTTATAACTGAACCATTTTTCTCTGAAGAGCAGTCGACAGCTGGACCACTGCGATTGCAGCTCACTTAGATTCAATGTTAAAATCACTTAGATTCAATGTAAAAAATTCCATGTCACTTAGATTCAATGTTTCGTGATACATGAACTGCAGTAACGTGGCATTTTAGATACTACGATTTTTATGCAGGGCTGGGCCCCACCTCACGAGTGTCTCACAGTTACTTAGGCAACATTTCACAAATGAATGTCTTATAAGCCAACACTTCCCCTCTTCCCACCAGACCTCAACCTCTGTGACTTTTTGCTATGGGGTTTTCTCAAAAGCACTGTTTATGGTGATAATCTAAATAATTTGGCAGAAATGAAAAATGTGATACACTGATAACATTCCTCCTGATATGCTAAGAGCTGCTGTTGAGAATGCAGTAACAGGATTTAACTTGCTTTCGGAAAATGCTGACGCTATATTGAACATGCTTTGTAACACGCTTCGGAAAATATTAAACACATTTTAAACAGATGTTTCCGTGTGTTATTTCATTTAACAATATTGTATACAGCGCCATTTTCCCCCTGGTGGTGAGTTTTTGAACTCTTTTTTTTTTTTTTTTTTTTTTTTTTTTTTTTTCCCCGCGGAAAATAAATTCCCATAGCTTCCTTTACACGATTCCCAAGTTTGATAACATTTGGTCCGGTAGTTTTTCCTTTTATGACCATTTCAAATTGAAACTTTAATTATAACCACCATGTAAATTAAACTTTAAAAGTTTGACAGTTTGGTTCAAGTTCCAGCTTTAAAATATATATATAAATATAGTCTTTTATATTAATTATCTTAGAAAGAATGTTTTAAGAAGCTAATTTTTCTCTCGCGTTATAGATTGTATAAAAAAACATGATCTTTAATATGATTTAGATTGTTTCAGCCGATATAAGAATCGGGTTACTCGGTGGTACAGAATAAAACCCTGCTGGACTGTTTTTTTTTCTTGTCATTTAGCAAAAATCTTTTAATTAAAATATTTATCTTTTGGACTTCGCTTTAAACTTTATTTATAGTTAAAATGACTAGAAAATGAAAAGCTGTCTTCAGCTGAAACGCAATTCATGTAACTGATATTTAAAAAATTGACAAGAATGCAAAATTTATGGAAGTCTAGCAATCGAAAAATCTTAATTTTCTTGTGTGAGCACTGAAATTAACTGTAGAAGGAAAGAAGAAAATTAGGGAGAAAATTAAGCAAAAATTTGCAGGGAAATTTGGCTGTCAGACATACCAAGATGTTTCAAAAAGTTGGACGCTTTTGAATATACTTCCAGGATACTTCAAAGAATTTAGGCGTTCAAAGAGAAAACACTTGGACGTGTACATCAGGAATTACCATCATTTGAGCTTGTATTAACAGAAAAGGCAAAAACAATATCATTGCAGATTTAAGTGAAGAGTGACTGGGTTTAGACTATATGGTTGTATAAATTTAAATTACGTTATAGAACATCATATCGTATCATAAATGGAGAATCCCATGATTTTCTCAGTCGAATTATTTGAAGATTCAGAAGTTTATCCAGTATTGTATGTGGATGTCACCTAAAGGCGTTTTTTCCCTCTCCTGATGAAACAGCGGCCGAGCGGTAAAGTCGCTGAACACTGGTAGTTCGTTCCGAGGTACGAATCCCGCGCGAACGGGCTGGCTGCATGGGCGTTTTTGTGGTTTTCCCCATGTGTAACGTGTATGCAAGCTAGTTTCCCTTAGAAAGTCCTCCACAAAGGCATCCCTTCCCTTAGGCAGATAGCCCTAGTGTTCTTTGTCATAATTAAATAAACCAAAACCTCTTGATGAAACCAGTCTTTCCTTTCGTCTCATACCTTCAAAATGTTTAGCCTCTAAAGACTGATAAAGGCTTTGACGAAATACTTCGTGAAGAACCTTCTAACGGAAACCAGCTGTCATACACGGTACACATGAGAAAATCCACGAAAACGCCCATGCAATCAGCCCGTTTACCGGGATTCGAACCCCGAAGTGAACTACCAGTGTTCAGGAAATTTACCGCTCGGCCGTTTGTGGGCCTTTATGAAATGGAAGGCAATAACTTTATTTAAAATGATTGTCCGAAATATCAAGATATTTTGAAAAGTTGGATGCTTTTTAATATACTTGCAGAATGCCTAAAGAAAAAGAGCAAGAATAAATGAGAATGCCTGAAGAAAAAGAGAAGAAAAAATACATTTTTGCGTAGAATAACATTTTAAGAAACCAAATGTAGGATAAAATTGAGTAAAGCAATGGGCACAATGATAAAACTGTTTAAAGCAGTGTATGCAAGTCATCCTAAGTTAAAATGTCGGTTATACATCTCTCTTATTTATATATATCTTTTCGGAACAGAACATTGAAAGTCGTGTTAACTGTGCTTTACTGTATTTTCTCTTTTAATATATGCAGTTTTCAAACGCATCGTAGTGTCGGTTACTAAGTATTCTTCCGAAAGAAACGCAATTCAAATAAACAAAATCAAGTTCTGGAAAATTTATATTAATAAATATATTTTAAATGCTCAGTTCGAAGGAATAAATAGAAAATTTTAAAGCAATTATCTGAAGAAACAATGCAACACAAACAATTAAAATAAAAGTATAAAAATTTAAGAATTACCTAAAATAATAAGTATGAGCAAAAAAAATATATAAAGAAAACTATTTGAAAAAAAAAAAAAAAAAAAAAACACAAAAAACGCTGCACATTTATTTACGCAGTTCGAATAGGTAAATAGAAATTTTTAAAACAGTTATTCGAAAAAAACATGCAACTTAAACAATTAAAATGAAATTCGAAAATGAAAAAGTTACTTAAAATAATAAGTTATAATTAAAAATATAATATAAAGAATATTATTTGGAAAAAAGGAACGAGGGTGACTTTTTTTCTTCTTTCGGGAAAGGAAACTATAGTTTGCCTTATATTAAGAAGTTCGCCAAGTGAATTATTCTTGGCGCAAACTGAAAAAAAAATGCCAACATAAATTTGTGAATTTCTCCGTAAATTTCGCTCCAAATTTTACAAAATTTCATATTTAGGCGTAATGTGAGTTGTAGAATCGAAATATGTAAAGAAATTGGTATGTTATTTCAGAAAAAGTCCGATTTTGTGTCAAAATACCTATGTTAGAATAGTGCTATATATAAATCTAATATATATCCTAAGTCGCGCTTTCGAGACATGAAAAACGCAATTTGAATTTTGTCAATCGGCCCAGTAGAACGGAAGATATAGCACTGTCCCTTTTTTTTTTTTTTTTTTTTTTTTTTTTTTTGAGCAGTGTACCTTGTTAATGAAAATCACATCAGAAACTCATTTGTACAGAGAGAGAATCATCAACATTTGCATTTTTTGTTTAATTGTTTCCAGCTATTTATTCAGAAATTTTTTAACACATTATTTACATACATATATAATTTTAAAAAAGAAATAGCTTTCAAAAGTATACCTTAAGTAAATAACAGTAGTTGTTTTTTAGTAAAATTAGTAAAACTGCATGACACACTTAAAGCTAGAGATTATGGTATATTAATAAATTCCTATTTCAACAGATTAAAGAGAATTTCTTCTAACATATTAATCAATTTTTATTTTAACAGGTTAAAGAGTATTTCTTCAATTTACATAAATGAAGGACTTGCCTTTAAAGAAGCACAGAATCTTCAGAACACACCATTTGTTACTATTCACAGAGCTATGAAGTCATACAATATTTTTGGAATATGTATGATTATAGGTTACCTCATGGAACCACTTTGGAGCACTATCTTATCTAATTTAAGCAACTGGAGGAACTATGGTAATTGTTTTCCTGAATATTTATTTTATATCTAAAATAATGACAAAAGAATTTTATACCAAATATGTTTTCTATAATTAAAATGTAGATTTCCAGTTATTGAGAGTTCTAGTTTTTTAACTCTGAATAACTGGAACTTGTTTTCCTTTCTAAAAGGGGGATTCAGCTCTGATTTGGAGTGTTGAGATTTTCACATGATGATTCCTGCATGCAATAAATGATGTTGGATACTTTTAATGCTTTGTGTTGCTTACAGTGCAACAGAAACTTAAACAAATAAACAGGAAATACCTCAGTCTGTCGAACAAAAGATTATTATTAAGTTTTTTTAGTCAACCTCCCTATCTTCCATCAGGTTTCACAAAAAATGTGAAGAACAATGCCATGTATAAGTGAATAGGATGTGCTACCAAATTCCCATTATAAACCAGTCACTTTAGTCAAATAAAGCATGTCATCACTGCAACTCAAGAAAGGACACACATTCAACCAAATACCTTCTTTCAAGAGGGAATAAAGTAGCTTTCGGAATGTTAAAAAAGACATTGCAGCACAAGAGAATGACTTCAAATAATGATATGTTTTCAGTTGTATAACCATTCCACATTTTCAGTTATTCCACAAATCCAGCTCATATTGGAATACCCTAGTAAGTCAAATTAAAATTTAATTTATTAATGAATTTGAAAATTTCTTGCTGGTTTTAATATTGTGAAAAGATAGTACAGATCATACAAGTTGTTTCAAAAAGCAGTCAAGTTAATTTGCATAAATTTTACATTAAACTTGAAATAATTTAGGTAAAAATATTCAGAATGTAGTTTGGTCAATAGCAGTAAATACATATATCCTATACCCTGGAGATTATTTTACTTTCTTACCATCTAACTAACATGAAAATGATTGGCCTCAGAAGGAGTACGTAACATCTGATATAAATATTTTCTTAAAATTGTTGAATGAGGGTGATAACTCATGGTAAAATAGTTATTAAGTTTGAAATGTTTACATTAAAATAATTCAGAGTAAAATGCTGTTTGTTAATTCAGCATGTTTGTTTCGCGATATACCTGATAAAAGAGTAATTATTGAGATTTTTATTTTGAATGTATTTTTTGTATATTTATAAATTGTGTCATTGTAGCATGAATATTATTAATTTCAGAACTGCAGCTGTATAGTATAAATACATTAAATAATGATTAATTAAAACTACTTCGGAGGCCTGAATTCTTCCCAGACAAAACAGACATTCACAGACAAAAATGAAACATTTTAGAAGTTATAATTACATTTTAGCATTATAACACTTTTTATTTTATTCTGTATCTGGATTGTATACGTACTTAATCACTAAAGTATTTTAAATTGATATTGCATTATTAAAACCGATATCTGTAATTAATCAGCTACTACAAAAATTAGTAATTTAGTGAGACATTAACCATTTATTTGTCATTGTTTCTAGTTGTAAGCAATGTTTAGGAAAGGAATATGTATGAACTTGAAAGGCATTCCCAAACAGCAACTCATCAAAATAAGACACAGAATTTCATGAATTTTATGGCAGTAAAACAGAAAATATTTAGATTGATTTCTCCCCTCCCCCCAATTTGTAATTTGACACTGTTTTTCTCTTCCATTTTAAAAAATAGAATTGCTTTAAAAGATGTAAAATTATGTTTATAGTTTTATTTGATGAGTATGTATTAAAAAATTAAACATTATTCTGTTAATCTGCAAACTAACTAATGCATATATATTCTGTAGAATTATTTCAGAAACCAAAATTAAAATGTACATTTTTAATGCAAAGACTGCATTTTTATTGGTTTTTTTTTTTTTTTTTTTTTTTTTTTTTTTTTTTTTTTTTTTTTTTTTTTTATTTAGAAATATGCTAAATTTTTATTCACATTGCTCTATTTGGTTAATGTTTTCTGTGGCAGGAGAAAAACCAAAAGTTCATTCATTGTTTGCTGTTAGTCCCCTGTACTTGGAAGGAGCATCTAAACCACATGGTTGCATCATCCGATTTTCATCTGAATCAGTTTCAGAAGTATGTTTTAAACTATTTTGAATATGCCTTAAAACATATCATCATAATTTATTTTGTAAATTTGTATTTAATTTTTTTGATTAATTATGTATCTGTTAATTTTTGCAGGCTGTTAAGAGAATTGAGGAATTTCTGGGGCCACTTTTTGTCATTATTGGTGGAAATCCATTTAAAAATAAATAAACCCTTTAAATTTTATAACTAATTTTTAATGAAATCTTTAAAAGTTATTTAACAGCTATTTTTAAAACTGTTTTGATTTGATGAACTCAGGTCTTTTGAATCTCATATCTTATTTTGCTGGATTTTGTTAAAAGTTATAAAATTTATGAAGTCATTATTAAAAAGAAGTGTTTTGTAACTTTTTGTAAAAAGTTATAAAGTTTTTATAAAAAAGTTTTAATATATGTGCCAGTTTTTATAAAAAGGTTTTCATTAAACAACACTGAATGAAAATGGCAAAGTTAGCTCTGTAATTTGCTGCAAGTGAAAAAGTAGAGGTCATACAAAATTATCACACCTTATAACAGGAAATGATGATGCAACCTGTTTCAATGGGCAAATCAAGCTTTCTCATTCTTCTGCAGAGTAAGACTGTACTTTTTAATAGATCTTTTTAATTTAATAGAAAAAAAATAATACTGTTATTTTTGTAAATATGAATGTCTTGGAATGAACAAGGTATATAATTTTTAGATTTCCTTTTCACACGTTATATAATTTGGTAGTAATTACTTGAAAAAGCTCAAGTAAAATCATTATTCATTATTTTATATCATATTTTTAAGCCATTTGTTTAAAATAGTAAAAGCTCAGACATTTTTGTGCAGTCGTTGCTATGTTGTTAGAACTAAAAAGATACTAACTTATATTAATTTAAAGATTGCATTCATAAATGTTTACATATAAGTATTTTGCATTATACCTTTAGAAGCATATGTAGATCAATTTTGTGTGTGTGAAGTACAAATTTTTTTCTTTCTAGTATTATATGTGATTGCATTTTAATATTAATTATGTGCACATGTATATTTTTATTTTTTAATATTATCTTTTATTATATTATTTACATTAAATATATGTATTTATTTAACTTACGAGATGTAGCTTGGGATCTACAAAGCATGATTTCTGCTAGTCCATTTATACCTTACATATTTTAAGAATATATTACAAAATCTCATGCCTATCACTTTTAATGTTCATGTTACATCAAGTATAAGTCATATAGAAAGAATGTTTATTGTTATAGGAAGTATTGAAAGGTTGTTTTACAGAAGTAAAATTAACACGTTTGCAAATGCCTAGTCCATTGTCTTTTCATCATTTTAATTTTTTTTATTATTATTATTACTGTTTTATGTTTTTAACACTGATCAGACTATGCTTTTGTTTTCGAGTATTTTATTTTCATTGCAGTTATCGATTATTAAGTGATTTGTAATATGATTTTATCATGTATTTGATATTTTTATTTTATGTTTTAGTATGAGATATATATCTTTTGTTGTGTATTACTAGTTTGCACTTGATTTCTTAAATAAATTACTCAATGATAAAGAAAACTTTATTGAAATTTTAAAAAATGCAATTGGCAGAATCAATTAATGAATCAAGATGATAGATTAACTACTCAATACAATCAATGAATATGGTGAAATTAATTCCAGTATCACTAAAGAGACTGCCAGATAGTTCTCCATCAAACTATAACAAATCTCTTAACATCAGTTAAATGTAAATGGATAAAAATATTGATGGAAAAAATATTTAAATGTATAATAAGATTCCAAATACCTGGAACTGTATATACCCAAACTGCTTATTTTCTTTCTAGCTCAAGCAAAATTAAGCTTCATATACTGCAAATATCAGTATCAAAGCAGTACAGAATATGCTGTATGCTGTGTTTATAATATAGTACATAAAGTTTAAATGTATTTGTTCAGCAAAACCGGTAATCTTTTTTTTTAACAACAATTAAAGCCATATATTTCTTATAAGCTGTAATATAAGCTTAGCAATAAATGTTATAGTGTTAATATTTTGCATAAATAATCACAATGTCTTTAATTTCTTTGTTAAATTTTAGCTTCATAAAAACCAAGAAATTATTCCTTCTCAAAATTCATAATATAAGGTGCTAAGGTATCAGTTAAATATATTATAAATGACTTCATCTTAATGCATTGCCAAAGAATAAAGATATAAATTATTAAGAGGTACCTTTATTGCTTTTAAATCAGACAACTTTTAAGCAACCGAGTATTGTAATTTGACCACCTAGTGGCAAAGTGGCTAGTGCGTTGCGCAGCTGCAACCACAGGTTCAGGTTTTTATCCCCAGACTGGGCAAGGTTGACACAGCCTTTCGTCCCTTGAGTGGGTCAATAAAATGAGTACCAAATTCGCTTTTGGACTTGCCCAGGACATATGCTGATGCACTCTGGGGCTCAAGGTCAAGAAAGCAGATTTCGAAGTGCTGCAGGCTGTAGCCCACTAAGGCTGTTGCGCCACTGAGTTTAGTTTAGTGTTCTAATTTGAAAGATAAGTTACACATGTGGAAATCTACTCTTCAGTCCGATTTCATGAGAGTAGATTTTCAAGAAATGTTGTGGCTTACCTTTGGTATCCAGGTCTCTCTCTTTTTAATATATTACTTTTATCAATGCTTTTACTTATCAGGAAAATAAGGGAAATTCCATAACTAGCCATTTGCCTAGGACAAACTCTCAAGTTCAGCCATTTTATCCACTGGACCATAACAAGTAATGAGGTTACTTTAGTGTTAAAAAATTATTTAGAAGTAAGTGCTCATATTTAAGAATATACTAGTTGTAGGAATTTCAACTAATTTAAATTTGTTGTTAATTACCCATTGTCTGCTAAGGAGCAATTTTATACATAAATTTAGTAAATAAAAGTTAAGTTTTGATATTATCGCTACATTTTATTGATATGAAATTAATGACAAAGTATTTGTAATTGAAATTTAGTAATAACTTGCTGACACAAATATTCTGGTCTTGAGAGATCAGAAAGTTTGAAGTAGTCTAAAATATCTAGCTAGAAGCTACTGAGCAATGATAACATCTGTATCTAAATATATTAATTCATCTTTATATGAATCTCAGAAAATATGTATCTTTCTATATTTGTTTAAAGTAAAATATCAATAAGCAATCTAGGAAATGCCTCTAATTGTAAATAGGGAAAAGAAAAATTCACATTAATGGCTTGGTGATACTTATGGTCTTAAAAAAGACCTGTTGAGGAAAACTCTATATTGACAAATTTTATTTAAAATTAGAATAGTTCAGTTAAATTTCATTTTTAATTTGAAATTTTAATGAAATGTTCATCAAAAAATAAGCAAACATATATTTTTAAAAATAAAATATTCATAAGGAGTTTTATGTTCATCCATTCAAATGGTTATCAATACTTCTTCCTGTCTTTACTGCTTCTTCACATGCTGAAATTATTTTAGATGTGGCCAAAAGGCAATCAATATTGACTTTACATTCTTCAGTGCCTGTATAATAACAAAATTATACTCATAAACTGAAATTAAATATATGGTCAGTAATTTTTCTCTTCAATATTTTAACTTATTTTAAAACTAATAAATCATTGGAATAAACATACTTAAGCCCAAATATACGTGTAAGACAATACTGTGTTTTCCAAGATGCTTCACAAGAAACAACATGGGAGACTTTCATATAAGAAAATCATATGCATATGAGTCTGATAATGATAAGATTTTGTACAGGATGCCCACAAATAAAGATATACTTTTAAAAATCATGCATAATCAATTTCATGTATAGGGTTTGCATATAAAATCCTATTACAGTGCAGATTCTTTTATAATTGGTTACTTTAGAGTGGGCATTTCAAAGTCATTTTCTTCCTCCTTACTTATCTCATAACCATGGTAATGACAGCTGTGGAAAATAGTCAGATCCCCTAATGTTTTACTCCATTTCATTTCTGTTTCGTGTGCTTGCTTCATGAAAAATGCACAGATAAGACTGACCTGAAGTGGAAAGCTTAGCTGAAGAACTGCTCTTCTTTTGCATTGGCCTTATCTCCAGCCACTTAACAACAACATAAATAAGCAGGTAATTGGTTCTAAATCAAGCAGCTTTTCTCACTTCTAAAGATAAGCTTTCTGGAATAAAGTCACTTATCTTGGGGTGATCCTCACAAATTCCCTCACATCGTCTCCACAAATACATGCTATTGTTCAGATGTTTCGAGTATGCAAAATTAAACACGACCTCTTAATTGCTTGAAACAGCCTTCTATCTATAGATAATAAATTACTCATTTATAAATCCATTCTGCATCTCATGCTATGTTATGTTTGTTCAGTCTGGGTTACTCTTGTCGAAGAAACGGAAAACAGCTACAAACGGAGAACAACTCTGTTCTGTGTCAAATTACCAGTGCATCCTGTTATCCATGATCAACTGAAGAGCGTACAACTGCGCACTTTCTGTTAACACTTGGCCTGAAAATTCCATATTCAAAGGAGAAATATCTCAAACTCTGAAATTAGAATCTACAACTATAATTACAGTAGTATGACCAACAAAAAAAAGACCATTGGCAATTTTAAACATTAGCATTATGATGGAAAAGTAGTGTATTATGTCTTGTCCCTGAAAGTATAAATTTTATGTTGTATTTACATGAATGTAGGATTTCTATCTGTATTTGTATTTATTATATCTGCTGTGTAAATATGTTAATACTTACAACCATTGGGCGATTAGCATTTACCTTATTTACCTTTACCAGTTCAGCAGCTTTCATTTTCCCTTCTCTCATTTTTAGTATTCTAAATCAATTTTAAAAATATTAACATTTAATTATTATTTAAGGTAACTGATGTAAGTTATTTGCAGAATTTAATTTGTAACTTTAAGTTTCATTCGATTAGGGCTGGGTCTCGCAACCAGGCACTCTGGTGTTTGACACTGTTAAACAAGATAGTACGGAGCTGGGTGTGAGGCCTACATGATCATGAGGCCTTGGCTGTACGGCATAAAAATAAATCTTAAGTGAGGGTAGTAAAGACTTGAAATAACAGACTATAGTTATATAAATGCATTTTTGTTTAGATTTTCACCTATAGATGGCAGTGTTATTTATACAGCAAAAATATTCAAATTTTAATTTTTTAAGAGAAGGTCTGCGACTTAGCACTTATGATAGTCTATATTGCATTACCAGAATAAATAGATAAATGCTAGGTAAATGTAATTTCTCATTCTATTCTAGTAGTGTGATATTAAGAGTGCCATCTATCGGTGTACATTTAGCTTATGCCAACAAAAATCTGCCTCTGTGGCAAGTCCATGTGCAAACCACAATCTGATACACCAATTTACTGATTTTTTATGACTTTTAAAAATAGTACCAGATTTACACCTTGTAGAGAACGCCTTGTATGTTCTGTGTGAAATAGAGATGGCTTTCTCAGGTTAGATGGAAAAATTTGTCTGCAAGCATCAAGCATTTACCAGCATTGCGGGGCTTATGACTGCAAGATTTCATTCAAGCCTTATTAATTAATGCAGTGAATAAGAGATATGCTTCTTGATTTTAATTTTCTAGTGTTTATGCTTTGTATAAATTTTTTAAAAAAGGGACAGTTCTAGTTGACGCACTTTTAAAATTTCAAAAGCATGACTTAGGATAAATACACTGTGTCCTTACCCGGCCTTTATTATTCACAATTATTGGTCGTAGACATACATTGAGAGTTTCAAAAATGTTTGAAATGACGCAAAGATTCATTTTTGAATTTTTTAAAAATTACGAAATATAATTTTTTGCATGTTCTTATAATTATATGTATAAAAATTTTGTTCTCCTTATAAAAAATAAAACACATAAAAAAACTTAGTCATTCAACAAAAATTAACTGGAATATATGGTATTGAAGTTGAACATCATATTCAGGGGCCTTACTTAAACTGAAGAGCGAAACATTTGCGTTTGTATATAGCTTAAATAAAAACAGTGTAGAAAAGCCTTTTTCATGTTAAGAGGTCACATTTCTGTACAGATTATTATGAAAAGATATTGATCGATATAATTTTTTTTTTTTCCAAAAAAGAGACCTTATTCACAGAATTAGTGTTCTTAAAAACAATGGTAGGCTACAGTACTGGCATGAGCCAACTCGCAATATTATTTGCATTAATTAAAAATGGAAAATGTTTCTACTTTAAAGAACTTCCTATGATTTCCAGGGGTGGGCTCCAACTGCACAAATGAACCCCCCC